TATAATACTTTTAAAAAATAAATAATTAAACACCAAAATAACTTTCAATTATAATTATAATATAATACAATTACAATTAAATACAACTATAACACTTTACAGTAATTTCAAATACATCATGCGACTTAACAACTGCTTCCTCCCGCTTATTTTCGGTATTTATCTTTCCTTTTCCTAGAAAATTCAAGACAGGGATGGATGTGGTCCGTTGATACGACGTACGCTCTAATTTATTGAACAAACATGAATGACAATCGCTCCATATCTAAAGATATATTAAAACAGAATCGAAAAAATATTTTTGTGTTCATACTGTATGTTCACATTTGTTTATATTTATAAACTATATAACTTTATTTTTTAAACCCCTGAACTGGATCAGAACTGGATTAGAATCAGTTCAAATATTCCTTTTCACATTACATCAAATTTAATGATAGGGGTGGAGTTATTACTATACCTTAAATAATTAGTGTCATATATTTTTAATATAAAATACCCATTATACCATTACATTATACTTTTTCTTAAAATTCTGCATTTTTTTATTTCTTAATAAATTAAAAGTATAATAATAGTATATATTAAAGCAAAACCAAAAAAAAACTATTTTGTATTTACATTGTGTTCACACTTATAAATTAAATAATAATTTTATTATTATCATTATTATCTAAAGATATATTAAAACAAAACTAAAAAAACCTTTTTGTGTTCATGCTGTATGTTCACACATATTCACATTTATAAACTATATAACTTTATTTTTTAAACCCCTGAATTGGATCAGAACTAGATTGGAACCAATTCAAATATTATTATATAAAGATATATTAAAGCAAAACCGAAAAAACATTTTTGTGTTCATACTGTGTGTTCACATCTGTTCACATTTATAAACTATATAACTTTATCTTTTAAACCCTTGAACTGGATCAAAACTGGATTGGAACTAGTTCAAATACTCCCTTTCACATTACATCAAATTTAATGATAGGGGTAGAGTTATTACTATACCCTAAATAATTAATGTCATACCTTTTTAATATAAAATACCCATTATACCATTACATTATACTTTTTCTTAAAATTTTGCATTTTTTTATTTCTTAATAAATTAAAAGTATAATAATAGTATATATTAAAGCAAAACCAAAAAAAACTATTTTGTATTTACATTGTGTTCACACTTATAAATTAAATAATAATTTTATTATTATCATTATTATCTAAAGATATATTAAAGCAAAACCGAAAAAACCTTTTTGTGTTCATACTATGTGTTCACACATGTTCACATTTATAAACTATATAACTTTATTTTTTAAACCCCTGAATTGGATCAGAACTGGATTGGAACCAATTCAAATACTCCCTTTCACACTACATCAAATTTAATGATAGGGGTGGAGTTATTACTATACCCTAAATAATTAATGTCATATCCTTTTAATATAAAATACCCATTATACCATTACATTATACTTTTTCTTAAAATTCTACATTTTTTTATTTCTTAATAAATTTAAAGTATAATAATAGTATATATTAAAGCAAAACAACAAAAAAACTATTTTGTGTTTACACTGGGTGTTCACACTTATAAATTAAATAATAATTTTATTATTATCATTATTATTAAAACTCTAAACGGGATCCAAACTAGATTGGAACTGGTTTAAATATTCCTTTTCACATTACACCTAATTTTTTTTATTATTCTTATTCAATCAATCAATTTAATTCAATTCAATTATATTACCCATTTTCCTAAATTCTTATTAAAAAAAAATTTATAAACTTATATTTATGTATACCTGTAACTGAATTTTTTATTTGTTATAGTTAACAGAAGTTTTTTTATAATTTTAGAATTCAAAATATAGATAATTGAGACTATAGCTAAAGATATTTAACTAAGTTGAATAGATTTATTCTTTAGTTATTTTATTTAATATTTTCAATTGAAAAACAAAATAATAGTAGTAATAATTAGTATAATAATTTAGTACATATATATATACATATATATAATAAAGAATTTATTCTTTAATTAAAATTAAAATCTTAAAACCATTTTTGTATTTAGATAGTGTGTTGACACCGATACACATTTATAAATTATATATTACTTGATTATTATTTTTTAATTCTTTAATTTACCTTTAAAATTAAAATCCTAAAAACTTTTTTATATTCATATCGTGTGTTCACATCTATTCACATTTAAAAATATGTATAACTTTATTATTATTCTTTAATTCTTTAATTAATTCTGTAATTATTCAGTAATTTACCTTAAAGTTAAAATCTTAAAAACTTTTTTATGTTCAAATTGTGTGTTTATACCTATTTACATTTATAAACTATCTATAACTTTATTATTATTATTCTTTAATTCTTTAATTAATTCTTTAATTATTCTTTAATTTACCTATAGAACTCGAAACCGGTTTGGAAGAACCCTTTTCACACTACTTTTTTGCCCCCTTTTTTTTCTAAGTTAGAATGCCTAAATAAACTCCAGTTTCTTCTCCCCCCAAAAAAAAAAAAAAAAAAAGAAATCCCATTTCTTCATCATCGCTGTCGGACCTCCTTTTCATTAAAGCCATGGCCGCTGAACCATTTTGATGCTAGAACCCATTGTTGTCGGGTGTTTTCATGCCACCTCCTTCTCCAGTCTATTCAACATGTCTCGTGGCCTCTCAATCAGGAAACAAATTGAAACCCAAATCATCTCTTAAACCTAAGTATCTACAAAGTCCATGGCTTGGCATCAGTCTTTGTCTTCGATCGTCAAATCCCAACCCGACTTCCAAAATTGCCGCACGATCCCTTCCACCGTAGTGTGTAACCTCCCAAGTCTGACAATCATGTTGTTTCCGTGGATGCTCAAGGCCTAAGATGCCAACTTTGTCAAGGTCGATCAAGCCCAAATCGAGTTTGATCTCATCCAGGTAAGTTTTGCTCTTTTTTTCCCCCTTAATCTATTTCGATTTATTGCATTTTATTGATTTCTTACCCAGCTTCTATTGTAAGGTTGGTTTTGATGTTCT